ATTAAAAGAAAACAGAACTAATTTAGATAAAAATCTTAAAGAAATTAATAATGAATGTGACTCTAATGTTACTTCTAAAAAATTTTTCACGTTACCATATTTGGGCAAAGTTTCGGAAAAATTTAAAAAACTTTCTCATATGTACGGTTTTAATATAGCTTATAAACCAATGAATAAATTGAATACATTTATTAAGACAGGAAAGGATGCTTTGCCTAAGGATGACCAATGCGGAGTAGTTTATAAAATTAATTGCTTAAACTGTGAATCTTCTTATGTTGGCCAAACCAAAAGGAAATTAAAAACTCGGATTAAAGAACATAAGGCTGATATAAGAAAATCTTCTTCCGAAATTTCTGTGGTCTCACGCCACCGTATGAATGAGATGCATGAATTAGATTGGGATAATATAAGAATTTTGGATAGAGAACAATCTTTAGCGAAAAGAAGAATTTCGGAAATGATACATATAAAAAAACAATCAAGTGGTATCAATAAGCAAAGTGACACGGAAGGTTTGCCTGAGGTTTATTTTCCTCTTCTAAAAAAGGATGTCTCTTTCTGTTAATAAACAATTCTAGAACTTTCTAAAAATTTTGACTCAGATATATAAACAGTGGTAAAATATATGATAGGACAAATAACAACACATAATGTCACGACAAAATTCTAACTGTGTAAAAGAAATATTCGAGATTCATCGTTTGGTTTTTTTGCTGTAAAACAGGTAATGATTCTTTTTCTTTATATTCTGACTAGGAGATTTTAATATATATAATTTCATTTAGAATCAGGAAATTCTTGTTCTACACTTTTCTTGATATGACAATTGACCGTGTAACATTACTGCATGAAGCATCTTCACATACAAAAGAACATGTTTATTTAATTACAACTCTCGACTGTTGAATTTAATGTCAACTAGATGTAACTCTGCGTTTTAAGAATATTATTGAATTACTGAAGATGGCCAGATTGTGGCCGAAACGTTTAATGTTTTAATGAATGTAATAATAATTAAATATCACAAACTATAACTTGTGCTGTGGTTTTTTATGCTCTTATTTTTTATATGTGTTAACAAATAATATTTACATTTTTCGATTTCCCAGATTTCTTTGTTTTCTTTGCATTTGAAAGCATATTTGTTGCAGTTCTTTGGCACTTGGTGGAATTCTCAATCACTTTTATCAGTTCAATCTCACTGTCTGCTAGTTGTTTAGCAGCAGTAAACAGATCCAGGTTCACCGTGGACTCAGTCTGTAAAATTATTTTGTTAATATTTAATAATAAATGTAATATAATAACTGCGTTCGACAGAAAAAACAGTTTTACAACTATTATAAGATTCTTTAATATGATTGATTTCATTTAAATCCAAATGAAGAACTAAGGGCAAGATCAATTTAATTTTAATCTTGCTTCGACTAATCCATATATCTTTTTCTAAAAATTAGAAAAAATGAAGAGTAAGTTAAAACAATATTAAAATTAATCTATATTAGTAAAAACAATTTAAACTATGCAATATTACTATTGTTATATTGACAGTATTTGATAAAACATTTATTTTACAAATGTATGTTTACAACTGTTGATGTCATAAAAATTTTAAGGCTAAGACAAAGTTATAAGGAAAGAAATAAATTGTTTCAAGATCACAGTTTTTGTCTAAAAATGTTTTCTAAGATCTCTATCGTGCATCAATCAGATGATTGGAGCCTCTAGCCAGTGCAAGTTAATAAAAAAGTAATTCTAGCAAGATAAGATTAGCAGAATAGACCTGTTGTATTGTAACTGTTGTGAATAAATCTGGATTTTCTTCAGAATCGTTCTTTTCACATACAATATTAAAATCTATGACATAATGCGAGACTTGTTACAAAAAAAAACTATTGGTCGAGGTTACAGATGGTGAACAATCTGTCCTTCTATGGATATATAATGTGGTGTGTGTGTGTGTGTATGTGTGTGTGTGATGTGATGTGTGTGTGTGTGTGTGTGTAGGCATATCCTTCTTCGACATGTGTTATTACTTTGTTTTTGAGAGCCAGAGATAAGATAGTGATAAACGAGTATGCAGAAATTGCTGATGATAACAATAATAGCACTTACCATTTGCCCGAATTGAGAGGAATTACAATTAATGGATGTCGAAACAATACATTTTTAGACAAACGTTGACTCATCGGACAATACGGATTACATGTTTGATTTGACTTTCTCTTCTCGAAATTGAGTTAAAATAATCAAAAAACGAAACGCTTTAGATCCATTCGCGTTGATTTGTCTTTTTCCTATTTTTCTTGTTTACATCTGTTGATACTTTTGTATTTATTTCTGATTCTGACAGAAGACAGCGGCGTGTGTGGCCGACGTCAAGATGGTGTAACTGCAAGTGCAAGTCTGTTCGTATTTACACTTTGCACTATTGTCTTATATGTGTATATATATTGTGTGTGTGTGTATGTATGTATATATATATATATATATATATATATATATATATATATATATATATATATATATATATATATATATATATATATATATATATATATATATATATATATATAACATACATACCTACTAAAGCTACGTTCCAACATCCTCTCCGAGGAAATTTTTGGAACATAGCCTAAAATAGGACGAATATGTAAATTAAATGAAAGAGAAAGAGAGAGAGAGAAAAGAGAAAGAGAAAAAATATATACAGCAAAAATAAAAACGTATAATGAATATAATAATATATATTATAATGATTTAATACGTGCAATTATAAAATTTTTTACCGAGGACAATAATAATAATTATTATTATTTATTATTATAATTGTCACTGATAAAAATTTTTCTCTGACTTTTTATACAAATTAGAACATTAATTTTTACATTACATCTTATTTTTTTTAGAATTTTTCATATATATAATAAATTTTAGAATATTCTAACCCATACGCACAGAATTTGCAGCAATATCGCAACAAAATCTCTGCAATATTGCTGCAATGTTGCAACAGTACGTGTTACCAACTTTTGCGCAACTTAGTGCTCCAAGGGAATAGAGAGCCTATAATCAGAATGGCGCCATATGAGAGATAACGTCATATTTTAGCGAAATTCTGCGAGAGAGAAAGAGATATACGGTCTCAATCTATCAACAGACTGTCAGTTTTAGAGTTAGGTGCAACAGCATTGAGTGACATAGATACATTGTATACATTGATAAAGGTACATTGATAAAAACAAAATTATTGAAATTATTTTAGAAATATTGGGTCATCTAAAAAGTATCCGCGATTTTTTGTCA